TATACGGTTGTGGAATAGAATTGTTATGAATGAGTGAGTCTTCTAGAATTGGATTTGATGGAGAATTGGTTGGTTGAGAGGATGAGTTTATGTAGGACAGTTGATTGGAAGAAGGGGACTTTTATTTGAAATTTTTGTTATGATAATTGGTTGTTGATCTGATAAGAAATTTAAATAATTGGAAGGTGGAGGATTATGTGGGGATTCTTAATGCATCACAGGTGGAGATCTCCAAGGAAAGTAAAGATGAAACTAGTTATTAATTCAAATAATTAAGTGGATAATCAATTAACCTGACGTTTTATTTTTTCTCGTAGACTCATAACGGTTGAAGCTAACAGAAAGGACACATAAAATAATAGATAATTATTATAAAGAAAAAAATATATTGATGGAGTGAGTAATCTTAAAATAAATTATTAAATTTTATGAGAATTAAATTATAATAAAAGAAACGATTATCAACACATTCAATGATCATAAATGTACTCTGACATCTTCTTTCATCTATAAAAGGAGTATAAATTCTCCTTTCATTTGAGTCTTCCATCAACTAAAGTTCTAAAATTTTTGTGTATAATAGTTAGATAGAGAGAAGACGTGAATTAGCAAATTAAGGATTTTATCAAAAAGTCTCTCAACAACGCTATGATAGTATTATATTTGAATGGATGTGTTGAATTCAATATTTGTATCAAATTTTCTTACACTAGCTAGAGCCTAAATTCTAAAAGACTCTTCTCAGTCTTATTGTATTGTCTTTTCAGACTAGCAAGGATAGGTAGAGTAAAAGGTCTCTGTGGAAGTTGGTGGGGAAGGTAAAGGAGTCTCCCTAGGTGGCATTTTTAGCTTGGGAAGTGGTTTGAGAATGCATTCTCATTCAGGATAAGTTGATCAAGAGAGGCATGATTTTGGTTAACGGATGCTATTTGTGAAAAAGTGGTGCAGGGACATGGAATTATATTCTTCTTTTTGATGCATGCCAATAGTTGTTGGCTTATTGCCTTTTGGATCTGAATTGGGTTATAGTAGGCACTGTGAGAGAGGAGCTTTGGATGTGGAGAGGCATATAAAGTAATATGTTAATTAGACGCTACTTGTGAAAAAGTGGTGCAGGGACATGGAATCACATTCTTCTTTTTTATGCATGCCAATAGTTGTTGGCTTATTGCCTTTTGGATCTAAATTGGGTTATAGTAGGCACCGTGAGAGAGGAGATTTGAATGTGGAGAGCCATCTAAAGTAATAAGCTAATTAGACTTATTCCATTGGTAAACTCTTGATCCATTTAGAAAGAGAGAAATAACAGGGTTTTTGAAGGAACAATTGACAACTTTGATAGAATTAAGGTCTCTTGATTGCTAACCCTGAGTTTTTTTATTAAGAGTCAACATCTGAGAATTTGGGGAACCTTCTTAATATTTTGCTAGGCTTGTAACTTCTTTCGTCTATGGGTTTGCACTTTTTAGTGCTTTAAGCTACTTTCGCTTAAGCAAGATTTGTCTAGTTGCTTAGATTATATAAACTACCAATACTCACGGGGTAACCATAAGGCTATAACTTCATACTTTATAGAACTAAATTGATAGGAAAGACAACAAGGTTTTTTCAGGCATGCGAGACTTTGAAGGATTCTATTTTTAGGAATGACCTTTGAGCAATAAGATTCAAGCTTACTTTGACGTTTTCTGCTGATGGCTTTTGCAACTTTATAGGCTAAGATATCTTGTCTTTATCATATATAAAGCTGTAAGCAATAATTATTCTCCTTTTTTTGTTTTTCGAACTCTACCACCTTTCATGAACTTTTAGTGAGGGTTCATTCTAGGCAATCCATCCATCACTAGAGTTACACAAAAATTCAGGAACTTAAGAAGAAAAGTAGTGCTTGATATTTTATTTGTTGCATTGTTATGTGTCTTTTATTGTCATAACAGCAAATTACGCATGTGCAACTACAAAAGGGAAAAAAAAAAATCCTAGAGAAATTAAGAAAAGCAAATTATTTTTTGTTACAGAGAAATCAGAAAATAAAATTTAAGATGGAAATCTTGGAAAATAAATAAAATTTTCTCAACTCCCCACAATCTGATTCCTACTTCTATGTCTATAAACTAGTCCTTCAAAGGGGGCTACTATGACTGGACCGTCTTTGCAATCATGTGACGAGGATTCTGCTAATTTGTTTCATCTTTCTCTTTGTAACCATGATTAGATCTCATAACAACTAACTCCATAGACCATTCTTTAGTTTTCCTGCACGTTAAAAAATTGCAAAGTTATTGACATTTCGACTAAGAATCTTCTGGAAATAATTGATTTCTCCTTCTACCTTTAACGTCCAATCACCATTCCAGCATCAGTATGACCTCGTATGAAGCTTTTTATGGAAGGTCTTGTTGTTCCCCTACTTGTTGGAGTGAAGTCGGGAACTAGTGCTACTTAGGAGTAGACTTCATTCAGGAGACCATTGAGAAAATTACAATTATCCGTAAAAATTTGGCAGAGCCACCAAAAGAGCTACGCCGATAATCATAGGTGACCCTAGGAACATTTCAGAAGTTAATTAAGACACATAAGTGAAAATACATTTACCAGTTTAAATACTGTACTTGAGTGTTTGAGACTACTGAAAATTTCATAGTAAAAATGAAAACATATCTTTTTTAAAAATGGCATTCACTGATCCATCCGTAACTACATAATCAAATGCATGACAACCACTCATTTATAACAACTTATAATTGATTAATGAATGGACTAATAGACAAACTAAGTTATTCTAACAAAAGTGACTCATTTGGTTCCAATGGTTCAAATCTTTCCGTGAAGCCGTTTGATCCTATATCAACGAAAAATAAAAGGGATCGCCAACTACCACTATAAATAGGATAACATTCAGTTTAAAAAATAGAAATACAGAAGTTCTATGATCACAATGTTACTTTACCACTGTGACCCTTACAGTTGATCGTGATCTACTCTCGTCAGAGGAAAGACCATACAGTATCCATTCAAAAAGGGAGTGGTTCATCAATAATCGGTAAACAGATGGATACACTA